GATTACTTTCTCATCCCATCCTGTGGCTTCCTTTTTCTGTGGTGTCCTGATCCAATTACCTCCCCAATTGCTCTGTTTTTCTGTCATCCCTGGCAACATTTCAGCACTGTGAAGTTTTAAGTTTCCCCTAAGATTTGGCCTTCAGTAATTTTTTTTCTGCCTATGCTCTCTTCTTTACCTAGTTTTCCCCCATCAACAGTGCCTTTTATGACTATGGAATATCTGTTTGTATTTCTCTTTGACAAGCCTCCTCTAGTCATGCCACCAGGGTCTCAAACTCACTGGGTTCAAAATTAAATTCATTATTTTCTACCCGGTTTTGTGCTAATAGTTAACTCTTCTCTTTGGTATCTTGGACTTGAATCTGCAAAGTTCTATCTTGTATATCTCGTTAGTGAGTTGAGTTGGTTACTGACTCAAAAATTCTTCAGTAGAACCTATACATGTCTCTTCTTTTCCACCGATGCATTATTAACCCACATCTTATTGATAGCCAGTGTGACAGTCTCCTAAATGGTATTTATGAGTGCTGTTTCCCCCTTAGATGTTGTGTTCACTGTTTCTAAAATAATCTTTTAGAAATACCAGTTTTCTCAACCTCACATATTAGGTTCTTAGAATTTCTCTTTCCCCATTGAAAGTTTGGATACTTTGTCTTGACATTTTAAAAATTTCTATACTTGACCCTTTATTTCCTTGCCAGCTGTAACTCTGTTTTCCTCCTCCACTTTTTTGAAGCCTCTACCAACCAACTGATTTTGTCCTATTTACATGTCCTGCCTCACTATCTATATTGTATTTTATCTATACTTGCTAAGGTGTATTTCCATGTCTGCATTGCTCTGAAGTTATAACAGGATGTTCTAAAGCGTTGAAACCTTTTTAAATATAAGGCATATATAGCAACAGAAGCCAAAATAATATTTATAATAATATGTTGCTTTTCAGAGATTCAGTATTCAAATGTCTGTTAGTTTTATTTATGCTCAAAAAACTTTTCTTCACAATCCCAATTATCATTGTTTATCTTTTATCTTCCAAAATAGTTTCCAGTTACCTACATCATAGAATGTAAAGCTTGTGAAGAAAGTGATGTGAGTCTCCTACTTATCAATGTATCCCCAATTCATCAGCATAGCCCCAGTATCAGGAGACCAGTGAGCAGGTTCTCTGTAAATAATTGTGACATGAGTAATGATTCATCAGTCACTGCAGAAATGATATACTGTTTTCAGGTTTGGGGGAATGAAATTCACAAGTGTTTCCCTCTAGAAGACACAAATACATTAATTTGATGATGTTATTTGTACTGCAATAGCTGTTACTATTTTACTAGTTGTCATTCATTTTAAGGAAATTTGACAATCTTTTATCAACTTTAAGTTTTTGTGAAATTATTTAATAGAGTATACTTTACATACGTTGGAGAACTATTAATTAGGTTATTATAACTGTAGGGTTAAGGTTACCCTAGTGACACTCTTGGTAGCATTCTAATATTATAGAGTACTGAAATTGTTATTTTATTCTTCAGGCTAATCAAGTGCATAACCAGTAATGTTTAAAAGGATTTTAGAACACTTTCTGGAAGGCCACAATTCTTGCAGAATAAGTTAAAAGAAAAGATGTATAGAAAAGGAGGGGCAGTCCTCTCTGACAGTAATAGGACCTTGCGACCTCACATTAAGTAGTTACTTGTGAAGAGATCATAAAATAATATGATTTATTCTGGGTTTGTACCCAAGTTGAATTGGGGATTTAGCCTAATGAGATTTAATGAATTCTTCCTGGACTCACAGTATTACTGAACAAATGACAGAATTCCCCTGAGCACCTGAGGACAGCTGCAGTGAGGAAGACTACCTCTGGTTTTGTGTTCCTGTCTGCATTCCACCTTGAACTTGAGCAAGAAAGTTAATCTCTTTGAACTTTAGAAATCCCAGCACTGGGAGCATGTGAATGGGTCCCTGTGTGTGAGTGCCCCGAGTCCACAAAACCTGGCTCCTGACAGTGCTCAGAAGTGATACCTAACTGAAAATCTGACTGAAGATGAGTCAACTATACTAACCCTGAACTCCAGACATATTAGCTGACTTTTTTTCTGTTACGTAGGCTTTAATCTTAAAAATTGAAGTATATGTTTACTTTAAATATTGGATTGGGCCCAACTTATAATTAAAGATCCTCATTTTTCAAATATGAAAGAGTAGCAGATACTCCATTTTTATTGTGCTATCATTGGTTTATATTACTGTATATGTTTCAGAAGATTAAGTTCTAACTCTTCAGGTGGATGTCACCACCCCACCATCAAGGCACCCATAGTCCTTTACCTTAGTGTCTTAAACCCCTGTCCCTCCTTCTCCACCTAGTAGTAGTGATTTTATGGTCAGACTTCTAGATTTTTTTTTCTTTTCATTCATTTTGTGTGACCCTTTGTGATCTCTCTACATTCTACATATGAGTGAAACCATCTGCTATTTGTCTCCATCCTTTATTTCACTTAGCATAATTCCTTCCAGTTTTGTCCCTATTGTCACAAATGGTAAAAGTTCATCTTTTTTATAGCTGAGTAGCATTCCATTGTGTGCATACCACACTGTTAAATGAATTTCAAACCAAAAACAAAGTGTCCTAAAATAAATCTCATGCAGAGGAGGATGTCTGTGTCAAAGCTGTTATGAAACTCATTCTTTAAGGTTATGCCAGACACTTACTAGATAACATAAAAAGTATTTTAAAAGGATAACATTGCAAAAGGAATTTTGCAATTTGATAATCTATGGTTCTGTGTTAGATAATATTATGCTTGAATGGTATAATGGTTTTTTTATTGTTGTGGTTGGAAGGTCCTCATCATGTAACTTCTGATATCCTTGTTTTTATGCTAACAAAGGAAATCTTAAATCAGCAGAGTTAATTCATAATGCTAATTTCCCTTTTGAAATTTTATATCATTGTTTCACTTTTGAAGAAAATCTTAACAGATTTGTTTAGCATAAAATATTGTCTGAGATTTATGACAGAATACTCTTTGTACAACAGTGTGACTGCAGTTATCTGAAGTTACTTCTGCTTCTAAAAATCACATCTCATAAACATCAAACCAGAGAATCCAGCAGACATAACATTTACTTGAAAAAAGTCATAGACAGAAGAATACATGCTGTTCAACTCCATTTATATGAAGTTCAGCACAAGACCATAATAATCTGTGGTAATAGAAATCAGTCTAGGGATTACCTCTGGGAAAGTAACATTGAGAAAGGGGAGGAAGGAGACTCCCTAGGGAGTTTTGAATTGGATGGGTGAGGAGCATGAGCATGGATGCATGGAATTGTATCAAGGTGGAAACTTCAGTGTAGGCACTTTATTAATGTCATGTTTCTCTACACAATTTTAAGTAAATTGAAAATAAAGACAATCACAGCTCTAAAATGGTATTCCAGTAATTATCTGCATCTTCTTCCATTTCTCCCCTCAAACATAAGTCATGGGAATCAAGTTTTCTAGTTTGTGTTTAGATTGCTGCTTGTTAAGTTAGTTCTTTTTTTAGCATTGTAAAATTTTTTTACAGTTTCCCTCCAACTGTTTGACTTGGCAGTAGCTTTCTAACTAAAGCAACTAAAAAAAAGTTCCATGGTAGCAGGGAGCCATATAAAACAAGATCCCACACCTATAATCTAAATGACCAGAGAAGATAAAATACCTGCCAGTAAAAAAATACATGTTCTTTATAACTTACTCGGAAAAAAGGTCTCCTTTAAATGACATCTAAGAACATTTGAAATGAGTCTACATAGTCCCTTATATCAATGGAACAAATATCAGAAATCAAGCATGTTAATAAAAATAGAGAGGTTTACTGAGGCCTTGGGATGTAACTCTTAGTATTAAGCTATATAAATAACTATAAATACAACCGTTTTTGAAAGTGACCTAGAGTTGAACATTTCATCTGTCCTTTAACCATTTGGTTTTCAACATTTTCATTCCTATGTACGATATAAATGAACATTATTTATCTAAAAGTTACAATATAGTAAACATTTATAATAGCATATGTTTGTATGTCATATGCAAACCCTCATTGTATATATAAAATTTTCCTTTTTAAATTTTAGCTGTTGAAATAGGTGGATCACAGGTCTTGACACATCACCAAAGCTAGAAATAAGATTTTTTTCCTATAAAATTTGAAAGAAATGTAAAAGAACTAAAAATTATTTACCAAAGCAGAATAGCACTTAAAAATGTGGGATAAGTACTTTGTAAGAAAAAAAAGAACGTGCAAACTTGTTTTTGCCTTTTACTGTGTGGTAGTTGGTTCTTTATTGTAATGAAAATATA